GACTTTAACAACTTTTGGATGAGTCTACTGTAGCTGGAAACGTTTAAAAGTCTCATCCAGAATTTCCAAAAAAATTGGATGAGTTTTAAAATGTATCCGGATGCCGCGTCCAGCTTACTTTCCTATTTCGCATCAAACGAACATTCGTCCGCGTCTGCATCTGGATGCTGCGTCCAGTTCACGAAACGAACAGGACCTTGGTCGGTTCATTTTATTTTTGTTGGCTTGTCAAATGTGTGCCCAATCCTTATTAATTTCTTGACAATTGCATGTAAGACGCTCCATAGGCTCTAGTTAAGAAAATATACGAACTCGGAAACATATTGAACCAAAATCAGATGACCATTAAAATTACAATAGGGCTTATCTCAAGAAAAAAACTCAAAAGAAACCCTACAACTTTGACTATGCATGGAAAGTGTTTTAAGTAGGTTTATCATATTTGTATATGTAAAGACTAGTGAGCTCCTCCACTTAGTGATATATATACTAACTAAAAGATGTCATGCCACTTAGTAAAATGCGAATGATGTATTATTATTAGAGGATGATATATGCAGCATGGTTTTATATTAATGTGAAAGTGTTGGAATATAAATAGTGGCGCATGTATATGGATGTGCTTAGTGAATTTATGCGCTTGCTAGTTTTGACCCCATTTTCATTTGTTAATTATATTTTACTTGTGGCTTACCTCATAAGTTGGTCTTAGAAAAAAGGATACTTAGTGGATGAGACCAGTATCTTCTACCAAACCTAGCTCTTTAAATACCACTCTTTAACTAACATTTGTTCACACAACTACAATACTAGTAAAGCTGATCCACTTCAACCATCATACTACTTCATTCCCCCTCTTATTAGTCTTCTTGTTTCACCATTAATCTCAATATAACCAAACTTTTATCAAGATCATTNACAGTAACCTCGAGCAAGACAGAAGCGTGAATCTAGTAACATCCATAGACCAAGCCACGTGATCCAAACCGTTGATTCCCTAAAGCCGTAACCGAAACCGTTGATCGCCAAATAAGAAACACTGCTTCACGACGTAATCTCTATCTTCCCCGTCCCGACAAGAACCAAGTTCCGTCCGAAAAACACATCTCATTCTTCTCCAATCGCAAAGTTGCAATCTTTTACGTTTTCTTTTCTTGTTCTGAATCGTCTCGGATCTGTTCGGTGTCTTTGCAAAAGAATTGACGATTTTCGGTGACGATGGAAAGTGAATTGATTGAATTGTTCGAGGCGGCGAAGAAGGCAGCCGATGCGGCGGCGATCGACGGTGTTACCTCCTCAGGTCCGGAGGTTTCTCGATCTCTCGATGCCCTTAAACAGCTCAAGAAGTTTCCCATCACATACGACATGCTCGTCGCCACTCAGGTGCGTCTCTAATTCACCTCTTTACGTTACAAAGTTTTGATCATTGAATACTCTGTTTGAATCAGAGGGTTCTCTCAATGTTTGCTTGCCCTAATCTCTAGCATTGACTTGTGCTAGGGTCCATTAATTTCATCTGAAACTTTCCAAAAATATGAAAAGATAGAAACTTTATTAAGCTTATTGCTGATAGTGTTTGTGTTGCTTTTTTAGAGAAAGTTTATATTCTTTTTTATTGCTTTCTAGGTAGGAAAGAAGCTGAGGTCTCTCTCAAAACATCCTATCGATGAAATCAAAACCGTAGCTACTGATCTTCTTGAGATTTGGAAGAAGCTTGTCATTGAAGAAACTTCCAAGTCTAAGGTAGAGAGGAAGGATGTTGACAAGACTCCAAATCCCACGCCTGTGAAAGTGCCGAAGCTTCAGAGAGGTGATTCAGCTAAGAGCATCAAGGTAGAGAGAAAGGAGCCAGAGAATGGAGTTAAGGTAGAGAGAAAAGAACGAGACAATGGAGTTAAGATTGAGCATCGTGGTAAGACTGTGAAAGATGAGAAGGAATCAAGTATGAAAGCTCCAGCTAATACTGCTCCAAAGTTGACTTCAATGGTTAAATGCAACGACCCTGTTCGTGACAAAATCCGTGAGCTGCTTGTGGATGCAATGTCCAAAGTTCATGAAGAATCTGATGATTACGATAGAGCTAGAGTTGTTGGATGTGATCCGATCCGTGTCGCTGTTGCGGTGGAGTCTCACATGTTTGAGAAACTAGGACGGTCAACGGGAGCTCAGAAGCTCAAGTACAGATCTATAATGTTCAACCTGAGGGACAGTAACAACCCTGATCTGAGGAGGAGAGTTTTAACAGGGGAGGTGTCACCGGAGAAACTTATCACAATGTCTGGTGAAGATATGGCAAGCGACAAGAGGAAACAGGAGACTAATCAGATCAAGGAGAAGTTTCTGTTTGATTGTGAGCGTGGTCAGGCGCCAAAAGCGAGTACTGATCAGTTCAAGTGTGGGAGGTGTGGTCAGCGTAAATGCACTTACTATCAGATGCAGACAAGGAGTGCTGATGAGCCGATGACGACTTATGTTACGTGTGTTAACTGTGACAACCACTGGAAGTTCTGTTGAGGTGAGAAGATATATATATGTGTGTTCTTTTTTTTTTAAATATTTCATGAGACTACGTTTAAGAAGACATAGAAGCTCTGATTGATTTATCAAGAGCTTCATGTCCATTTGCCAGAACATTCTTAGAATGTTTCTGGCTCTGATGTTTGTGTAAGGATACCAGTTCAGTGTCTTAGAGATTCGTAAGTAGGGGGAGTTCATTAATTTAGTTGTCTGTAGCTCTTGTTTCTTTTGCTTCTTTTTATTCCACACATGTCAGACTTGTCAACGTTTTTGCAATTTTTATCAAAGTTTTGAAGTTTATTATTGCAAAAATGTCACAGACATTTATCAGGATTAGTTGTTTGTGCTTGTATCTCAAACATAAAGTAATCAAGACCATGATATCTAGGAGAGTGAGAAAGAAAAAACTTCTGATCTTGGGACTTGCAGATAAGTGGTGTTCTAATCACGTTTTATTCTTTAACAATGGGTGCTCTCTCAAACAATTAAAGAAATGTAAATGGATTAGATAAAGAAGGTGCTGCGAGTGGCATTCAAATCTATGATAATTCAGAGGGAAAGAAGAACATAACACATACAGTAAGAAGGAGCGTTAGTGTGATGATGAACTCATTGGCTATTATTCTTTTTTTTTTAAAAATTATTTGTGAGCGAAGCAACAACTCTTAACGGACTTGTCAATCTAGTAGTAGTGTTGACAACTCTTAACTCCATTACTTGCTGTCCTTTACATTTTCCATTACACTACTACTAACGTGTCATCCACTTTTACATTGACAAAAGTTAATAACTATACTATCCTTGTCAGCATCCAATCCATTATGTAGTCTTTATTTGGTCGGTTCATTTTATTTTGTTGGCTTGAAAAATGTGTGCCCAATCCTTATTAATTTCTTGACAGTTGCCTGTAAGACGCTCCATAGGCCCTAGTTAAGAAACTATACGATTTTAACATGAATTGAGAGACTTTACAAGTTACAATTAGGAAACTCGGAACATATTGAACCAAAACCACATGACCAGTAAAATTACAATAGGGCATATCTCAAGAAAAAACTCAAAAGAAACCCTACAACTTTGACCATGCATGGAAAGTGCTTTAAGTAGGTTTATCATATTTGTATATGTAAAGACTAGTGAGCTCCTCCTCCACCTAGTGATATATATACTAACTAAAAGATGTCATGCCACTTAGTAAAATGCGAATGATGTATTATTATTAGAAGATGATATATGCAGCATGGTTATATATAAATGTGAAAGTGTTGGAATATAAATAGTGGCGCATGTATATGGATGTGCTTAGTGAATTTATGCGCTTGCTAGTTTTGACCCCATTTCCATTTGTTAATTATATTTTACTTGTGGCTTACCTCATAAGTTGGTCTTAGAAAAAGGGATACTTAGTGGATGAGACCAGTATCTTCTACCAAACCTAGCTCTTTAAATACCACTCTTTAACTAACATTTGTTCACACAACTACAATACTAGTAAAGCTGATCCACTTCAACCATCATACTACTTCATTCCCCCTCTTATTAGTCTTCTTGTTTCACCATTAATCTCAATATAACCAAACTTTTATCAAGATCATTNGGATACTTAGTGGATGAGACCAGTATCTTCTACCAAACCTAGCTCTTTAAATACCACTCTTTAACTAACATTTGTTCACACAACTACAATACTAGTAAAGCTGATCCACTTCAACCATCATACTACTTCATTCCCCCTCTTATTAGTCTTCTTGTTTCACCATTAATCTCAATATAACCAAACTTTTATCAAGATCATTCTCCTCTTGTGCCAAAGGAAAGACCTCTAATGAATATATATAAGAGAGTGGCGTTTCTTTTCATCTTTCTGACAATCTCTTTAGTGGCAACCAACGCAAGTCCATGGATACCGATGGACGGAAACAATCCTGTTAGCTATTGCTTAAGCTGGAGGCTAGCAATAGAAACCAACAACGTACGTGCGTGGCGCACTGTTCCTCTACAATGTATGCGTTACGTTGAGGTGTACATGCTTGCTGGTCAATATGACAGAGACGTTGAGTTGATTGTGGAACAAGTTAGGGCTTATCTCAATGAGATAGTCCTTCCTGGTGATGGCATGGATGCATGGATCTTGGATGTTGATGATACTTGCTTCTCAAACGTCTACTATTATCGGCTCAAGAGATACGGGTATATACACTTGTTTTTTCTTAATTAATTATCAAAAGTTTTAGAAAAAAAATATGGCTAATGTTATGCTCTTTTGCTAATATGTAGATGCGACCCTTATGATCCAACTGGATTTAGAACATGGGCCATGAAAGGAGAGTCTCCAGCAATACAACCTGTTCTTGAACTCTTCAATGATCTTATAGAAACAGGGTTCAAAATTTTCCTAGTAACCGGGAGAGACGAAGAGACCCTTCGCCAAGCAACAGTAGAAAATTTGCATAATCAAGGCTTCACTGGTTATGAAAGGTTGATTATGAGGTAAAAAGAAGCTTTATCACTTATTTAAATAGTATTTTTTTGTTAGAAGATAAAGCCTCTCACAATGTGGACAAATGATTCTCTACTTGCAGGACAGCAGAGAACAAAAGACAAAGCGCAGCAACATACAAAACAACAATCAGAAAGCAGTTGATGGAAGAAGGTTACAGGGTATGGGGCAATGTAGGTGACCAGTGGAGTGACATACAAGGAGAATATTCAGGAAACCGCACCTTCAAGATTCCTAACCCTATGTACTTCGTTCCATAACCAAAAAAAAAAGAAATTACTATAATCATTTTCAGCCAATTAATTACATGTACAACGTGACAGTATATACACAACTTGTCATTATATACCAAATCACATTTCAAAGAAAGTATAGTGGACAGAAAAAATATGGATATAATATCTGAAATAAATAAAAATTACTGTAATCATTTCCAACCAATCAACTACATGTATAACTTGACAGAATATACACAAGGGTACGTCTCAATTTGTCATATTATACCAATCACATTTCAAAGGTTATATAATGTATAGACATAACAAAAAAAATGAATATAGTTGTCAAGAAAACTATGGAAAATAATGTCTAAAATAAATTTAAAATAACCAAAATTTTACGTAAAGTTTCAATAAGAATCAATCCAATAAATGTGTCTTTTTTTTGTTTTTGTTTTTACAATAAGAATTTCAATACACTCCCTTTCCCCAGCCACATTTTTTCCCTACATACATATTATATATCTCAACATTTTTTTTTCCTGATCTCTTTTTCTGATTTTTTTTTAAAATAATCTGTAATGAATATCTGATATCGTCTCATAAAGACGAATAAAACAAAAAATAAATAAAAAAGAAAAGAAGGAAAACCGCAGGGTCGCTCACCGGAGAGAGACCAGGGAGGCCTTAACTTGACCACCACCACTGCAGCCAGTACTGGGCCAGAACCAAATATACACACATGACTCATGAGTGTTTGTGTATGCAGACATGTACTTTTGGTTGAAGAAGAAGAAACCATTTAAAACGCTCCTTGACTGAGACAACAAACGCTCCTTTAGCATCCTGTTTTGGGACGTTTACCACTTGAATTAAAAGGTGAAACGCTTCCACCGCCGCTTGGTCCTGGACTCTCTTCCCTTAAGTTGTTTGAGTTTAGCAACGCTAGTTCCCTCAGCTGTTGCCTCTTTATGAAATCTTGTGACTCATCCTTTATTATAATAACCACAACAAACACACAAAACGTTATGTTAAAAATGTAATCCTATAATGCCTGCGGTTGATAACAATTTTATACAAGATCAAAGACAAAACATTCTTCTTTTTGGCGTTTGCGATTACTACAACTCGCTGCCTTGACTGGTGATGTGGTCACACATGTCTGCATAGTTGAATAGCAACCGCAAACTACCAAAGAGTGGGGTTACTGAAATATAAACGTGACAAGAAACAAGTGGCCCTACATGCAATAAGTCTAGAGTCTCTCAATGAAGCAAACCAACCATAGAAGAACGTAAAATAAAAACGTGGCTACTATCTTAATTGCATTTCCACTGACTTATACCAAAACACATTAAAGAAGTTAAGAAAATGTATTTACCACAGGCTTTAGTAACTCTTCTATGATTTCTTGAGCTTGTCTGAGACGTATATCCACGATACTGGATGGAAGATCTGCTTCTATTAAGATGTGAAGCTGCTCATTTAGATGTTCATAGCCTGGTCTTCCCCTTAGCTTATCTTCCTACATTTTTTATCACCAAACAAGAAACAGAAAAATAAGATACTCATCTGAAGCATGTAACATGTTTGGTAACTACAAAAAAAACAATTCATGTATTCTCACCTTTTCTGGATCCTTGATTGAACCTTTCCCTCTGATGAACACACGGCAACCAGTGGTAGCTTCAACACGTTTTAATGAGTTGCCTCTAGGACCAAGAAGCCGTCCAACAAAATTGAACTGATAAAACAGAGAACAAGCAGTGAAATTGGAGTAACATAACCACCAGTTTCGTTGCATATGGAGTAGATTATGACCAAGCACAAAGGGTGATTAGAAAGTTTGAGTACTTACATTAGGATAACTATCTACTGGAATCTCCAGACGCAATATCCTTTTAACAGTGTATGAGCTGGGACTTCCAGGTGCGCCTTGCCAATCCATAGTCATTCCAGGTGTTCCACTAAGTCTCTGTAAGAAACCATGTGTGTTTTAGCTTATCCCACAATGCTTAACACATCCTAGACAACATAAGTACAGAGATTAAAACAGGAAAAATGATTTAAGATGCTGATACCTCCTGAGAGAGACCGTTCCAACCACCTAAACCGGTGTTAGAGACATTAGACATAAGATTAGAAGAAGCCATGGGACTGGGACTTCTGTGTCTGAGTCTATCAAAATCGCCAAATCCTTGGTTTGGCATCATTCCAGATACCCTGAACATCTCTGCACATATCAATGAAGCTTCAAATGAACAACAACACAAGGCAACTGGAAGACACTAAGTACAATACTAAAGTGAGTATGTAATTGATTCAACAAGATCAAAGTTAATAAAACAAATCAAATGAGACTACTACAACCACTGATTACACTCCACAGACCAAACAATGATCTGTCTATTCAACTTAATCTCACTGTCTTGATTAGATTAACTGATTTGAACATTATGTAATAAAACTGGAGAGGCAAGTGTTGTAATAAAGAAGGAAAAATATGACTTAAGCTCATCTCAATCTGGTGACAAAAGAAAATAAAGAGCTGAATATGCTTTACTTAGATCCGAATCAGAATAAAAAAAAAGGACAAACCTTGATTCAATAAACGGCTGCATATGGGTAAGACTTGAGTAAAAGGTGTAAGCTTTTGATGTTCAGCGAGAAGCTCCGTCAAGTACTGAGAACTGTTCCAGACAATAAAGAAAAAAAAACAATCAGATCGGTTTTGTTTCACTATAAAAACCAAACAAAAAAAAGGAGTGTTCTTTCTTTATTACCTGTCGATCTCAGGAGTGTTTCGAATCTGAGGAGAAGCAGCTCTAGCGGGAGAGAAGTAAGATGAGTTGTTGTTGTATAAACCAGACATGACTCCTTCCTCNGAGAACTGTTCCAGACAATAAAGAAAAAAAAACAATCAGATCGGTTTTGTTTCACTATAAAAACCAAACAAAAAAAAGGAGTGTTCTTTCTTTATTACCTGTCGATCTCAGGAGTGTTTCGAATCTGAGGAGAAGCAGCTCTAGCGGGAGAGAAGTAAGATGAGTTGTTGTTGTATAAACCAGACATGACTCCTTCCTCCTCCTTCCTCTAGATGCGTGAGCGAGAAAGTAGAGAGAGAGAGAGAGAGCAGACACCAAATGTGAATTCTTGCAGAAAGACGCCTGACTTTTTTTTTTATTTTCTTGTTTTTCTCTCTCTAGATTTTTTTATTTTTTATTTTAGGAAAATGAAATAAAAGCTGATAAAAAGTTATAGGTGACAGCGTGGATCTCTCTGTTACAAAGGTTGAAAAAGATTAAAGTGGTTTTTCAACAATAAAAGTAAAATAAAAATAAATGATTAAAAAGACAAACGGTGGAAGTCTGGTCTGTATGCGTGACTACGTAGATCGTATATTTTTAGCGCCGCTAAAAGTGAAACACGTGTCACTCATGCTATCGCTCATCAGAGAGCTGTCTCTTATACGTATGTTCCCCTCTTTTGTAATTAACTACCAACAACAAATCATTGAGATTGGTCTCTATGTGTTGAAAGAGTCTTCCAAGTTACATATTTTATGTAATTATTTAATCTAGTCAGTCATGTTATATTGACTGCTACAGATGCTCATGGTCATAAAAAGTAAAAAATTTAATTAACTCCAAACTGACAAAAAAAAAACAAGTTGGATATTCCAAGTTGGGTACAAAGAAAATTCGATCATGAAAATGACAAAAAAAGTTTGAATATTTAGGGACAATGATGTGATGGTTTAGAAAATTTTGTGTAGAGTTAATTTGGCAAAAAAATCCCCCAACAGAGACCAAGTCAAAGAAATATGAAATCTCATAACCATATCTAGCCACCTAAACTCTTGGATAAGTGTTGAAGATCAGTGACTATGACGTTATGTCTGAGTGCTATAAGAAACTTTACTAAACATCATGAGGCTTTGTTGAGTTGTCCTAAGGTTTTATTGAGCTTGCTGAAATAATACAACATTTAAGATATATAGAAGGTACATGTTTATATTTAAGGGACACGGTATATTGTTTAGAGATCTTGAATCATTCTAATACATATCTTTATAGAGTTATATGGACTGTGTTAGTAGGCAGATTGTCAAATCGCGTGGCTGCGTATCCATCGGCTTCTGGTGAGCGTTGATGGAGATTAGAATGTAGTTCTCACTTCTCCCACAACTAAAATTTCATATAGATCAATCCAGTTATAGAAAAGTTATGATGCCTACTCAAGCGTTGAATTAAAACATTTAGTTAAAAGTTCATATATAATTCCAAATTTGGGCCTTAAAATTGTTGGACCCTATTAAAATGCACTGACAGCAAGCGCAGCCCATGACCTGACACACTAAAATCATAAAAGACATAAACACACAGATATATAACAAAGGAATGTACTAGTCACGTCGAGTATTTGGAGATTCTCGTTCCCTTGCTTAACTAGAAGCTTCTCACTGAGTTGTTCAATGAAATTCACTTTCGTGTTGAGGTGAAACACGTGGTTGAAAAACTTGAGAACCGTGCCATCTTTGTTTGATAGAATCCTCAAGGGAAGAGACGACTTGTAGCTCTCTTGAAAATTAGTAACATTATCCCTGGACTAATGCAGGTAAACAAACACATGCACGAGGTAGAGGTAACACATAACTGATTTGCCATTTGACAAGTCTTCTTATGCAGTCAAAGCACACAGAACACCTCAACGCAACTCAATTCAACACCTGCCAATAGGAAACAACGGAAGGGAACTCTTGATGTAGAGAAGTCATTTGATCTTAATTTCCTGGACATTTTTGTCTGATATCCGTATCGATTACAGTATTGAAATTTCAGATTAGTTTCAAAATAGTTTGTTTATTCCCACACACCTCTTTTTCTCAAAACCGACAATTATTAAACATATCCCGCTGAGCAGCCGCCTCCTGTTAACCGACCCTAAAAATTAAATCAATAATTGAATGTCGACATTTTATGTAGTATGTAACTAGGTGATCTTAAAAAATAATAATACTCCATCTGTTCTTTAAGTTCTTTAAAGATACATATTTTAGAAAAAAAATTATTTCTAAAAGATCTATTTTTTACATTTTCAATGTATATTTTATTAACTAATTGTAAATTTCAAAAAACTTAATTGCACTAATTGATTTTTATTGGTTTAAAATTATGGAAAAAAATTAATACAAAAAACTATGCAATTTTTTGTGTTTTATTAAAAAGTGTGAAAAAACTAAAAATACGGATCTTTTAAGAACATAAGGAGTAATAAACTAGGCAATCTTTTTAAAATGAAAATAAGAGTTGTCTATGTTCTTGTGTAACATATAAACTTGAGAATGAACAAAACATCCAATCTGTTATCGGTTTTGATTCGACTCGAAAAGCTGAATATCCGTAATTTTATAAATCAGATTATGCTAATATACAAAATGCGATAAAAATAAATTGAATACAAATACTAAAACTGAAAACGAATATTTGCTTTAGTTCAACATATATTTGCATATATGTGAAGAATTATATATAAATTATATAAGTATTTCTATATGTGTAAGTTCTATAATATTTTTTCGATAAATTTATTATTTAGTTATGACAATTTTAAAAGTACAATTGATGTTTATATAGTGAAATATTATAAATTTACACTAAACCTTATGTTTTAAAATATTTATTTATTTCATATTTAGTTAAATACAAATTTCACCGGATACCAAACCGTGAGGAAAATACAAATTATAAAAATTATGATCGGTACAAAAGATAGATCACGAATATCTTCAAAAATTTAGATATCCGATCTGTTTTCATCCCTAATAACACATGCATAAATTACATGACAAAAAAGGGAATCAGTATATACGTAAAAAGCTTGGAATTGAAAAATCATTAAGATCTAAACATTTGGTCGAGGATGATGGTCAATGCCATGGCCACACAAGGTTCCATCTCCGGTTCAACTATAAGTTTAAACACATCTTTGCCAAAGGTAACTCCTCCAACCATTGCCTCTTTCCTCTTGATCTCCGCCGTTTTCTTCTTGTTCCTCCTCTCATCCAATATCTTACAGCTTCTTTGGCTGTATGATCCTTCTATCTCGTATAATACTGTCTTCTTCGAGCTAACTGACACCAAGCTTCTCCTGTTTGTCTTAATACCAACGTTTTTCTTTGCCATAAATATTGGGTCTCTTTGTGTTTCTGCATCGTATACCATCCAGCAATCTCCAAGACTCAACCTCTGATCAAATAAATTAAGAAGAATTCAAAATGAGTTGGCTATCTTTGATTCAAGACTTTGGATCTTAGGTTATCAAAAAGAAAAGCAGAAAAAGAGATAGAGAAGGCAAGTACCTTGCGACGGATGGAGAGGAGAGGTAGACCAGAAGCATCCATAAGGACTATGTTGTCTCTAGGACAGTTCATGTAGTTGTCGACCCTAAAGACAAGATCTCCATTGGAGTTGTAAACTGTGAATCCATCACAGTTGAAGAGAAGGGACTTCTTCCACACCGTTAAAACAATAGCTTCTTTACTATCACACAAGCTCTCCTCACAAGTGTTTGGGAACTTTGGATGAACTTTTGTCATTATCTTTTTTTTTGTGTGGGTATTAATGATATTTGTTTGAGAAGAAGAGTTGATATTTGATAATGAGAAGAGGTCGTTGCGTGTTTATATATACAAGTGTATGAAGAGAGAGAGAATGTGGTGCTCATATGAAAAGAATGGTCTCATCTTCTTGTTTTCCACTAGAGAGAGATATCCTTTTCAGTCTATTACTATAAGATATCTAGTCTTTTACATTTATGTCATTATTTTATGCATTAGTGTAAACTAATGAATTCCTTTCTATGATTAAATGTTATAGTACTGTTCTTAAGCTTACCTAAACTCCAACAAAATATTAAATAGGAGCCTTGTATTTTCATTACTGATTCGACCAATATTGGCCCTACAAAATAGTTCATCGTCTCGTGTTTAATATTAGTCTAATGCTAACTCTAGTTATGTTATAAGACAGTCCAGTTGAGAACTAGTCTCAAGTTGATATGGTCGTTTTATAGAGAAATTCATAAATATAACTCGACTTTTTATATATTGTTGGCAAATTTACCATTTTAAGATTGATTAACTGCGTACTCTATTCAAGAAAAATTATGGATATACAGTAGAACCTCTATAAATTAATACTCGATAAATTAATAATCTCTATAAATTAATAAATTTCACCGGTCCCAATTTGGGCCGGTGTAAAATATGGCACAAATCGATAAAATAATAAGATAATAATATTTTTAAAACTGCCATGGAAATATATGGTCCCACTAAAATCATAAATTAATAATCTAGCTATATATAATTTTATATAAGTACAATCTATTATTATATTGTTGGTTTTATATTTACTATAAAATACTTTTATTTTTTAAAACATTTTAATATATTTTGATAATATTTAGTTAGGGGTTTTATATTTACTATAAAATACTTTAATTTTTTTAAACATTTCAATATATTTTGATAATATTTAGTCAAATTATATCGAAAACCATGTAATAATTCTATGAAACATAAAAATATACACAAAATAAGATAATAAAATAAAATAAAATTCAAATTTCTAAAATTTGACTAATGTGCATATGCTAAAATCAAATATTTTTTTAATTTTATAAATAAAATGGAAAAAAAAATAAAAAATCTAAATAAGGAAACTTTCGTAAATTAATATCTCTATAAATTAATAAAATTTCAAAGTCCCAACATTATTAATTTATAGAGGTTTTACTGTACGTGTAATCAAATATTTATTTTATAATATATTATCATTAATTAACACTCTCGGTTGTGTATCTTATCTACATTTTAGACTAAGATAATATTTATATATACTTTTCTTTTATTTTTAATCATTTTTGGCGTTCAATACTTGTCTAATTGTTCCTTCTTTACTTGTTCATTTAAATTTAAAGATTTTAAAAGTATTAATAGAGAATATTATTGTCTACCCAAAAAGAAGAAGAAAAAAGAATCTATGCCAACCAAAACCGACGTGTCTTAATCCATCGTCATTTGCTGTGCATCGTTTTATAATGGAAAACATGAGTTTCTCTTTGAAATATTCTTGTCTTTTATGATAATAACTATTATGCCAATATGCTCTAAAGTTGAACCCAAAGGCCAGAGTAATACTATATGATATATCTACTCTCTATGGTCGTCAATATGTAAATTCGGTATTCCTGTATATTATTATATCTTATTTTAAAGAACACTTTGTGGATCAAACTTCTTGCATGTCCCAAATATTGGGTAGACCAATTACATTTCCAATATCAGATAACATTTATTTATAACCAACAAAGCTTTGAACTATTACCATGATTATTTTGAGCCAAGGGAAAAACATAATTTAATGGAAGATAAGGACGAGTGGAAAGACAATTTCAAAGTTGCAAACATGGACATGAAATAAAAAATCGAGTTTTGAACCAATCCTTGTTTTTCAATGATATGATGGAAGGACCACCATAAATATCACCAGTCATCATTATAAATAATTAGGCTTAGGAAGAAAGTTGTGGAGGAGAAGCGATTAGCGGTGGGAAGAGAAAAGAAAAGAAAAGAGACCAAACCAACAAAATTCTACTAATTATTTTAACTAAAAACTAGATTTTGACCCGCGCTTGAAAGCGCGGAAATTTTTATATAATTAGTTTAAAGAATATTTTGATATAAAATCAGTTTACCAAAATTTATGGTGATGATTATTTTTCATTAGTTTTTAGTTTCAATTTTTATTTTTAGATTTTGGTTTTTGGTTTTTAGTTTTTAAGTTTCTACTTTTCATTTTCAGTTTTTGGTTTGGGTTAGTTTGAACTAATATTACCAACAAACAAATCTCAAATAATCGAACATCTAATTCAAAACTGAAAAGATGACAACAATTTTTTTTAAAAATAAATTGAAATAGTTTATTTTGTAAATAAACAAAGCTAAAAATATAACATGTGTTTTCAGCTTTTGGTTTTGGATTTTAGTTTTTAGATTTGGGTTTGCTTTACATTTTTTTACTCAGTAAATTATTTAAGAAAAATAAAACAATAAATTATTTAAAAGTTACCACTGAAATTTATCAAAACAAAGTGATTGTTATTTAAAAAAAAAAAAAATATTAACATGTTTTAAAGTACATGATTTAAATAAATGATTAATAATAGATAATTTTGTTTTGTTACAAATATTAAATACCTTTTGGGTCTGAAAATAATAATTGATTTTTTGATCTTTTAAGGTGAAAAATTTACTTAATGTTTTTAGAGTTTTTTTCTTAATACTAAGCCCAAAAACCAAACTATATAATTTTTTCAAAAAATAAAAGTAAGCTCAAAACTATATTCCATAAATAACCACTGGTTTAATTTAAGTATAATTACTATATTTCCATATTCCATATTTTGATGATATATATTCTTTTAGAACATTCCATATTTGTAGGAGAAAATATGTGTTTTCGGTATACACATAGATACCTGTCATATTTTGAAGGTAATTTACATTAAAGTCGTCTCTTTACATTAATTGTGTTGGTTTAATTTAAGTAATGCGGTTCAATCAATTATATGACATATTATTTGTAACATTCTAGAAAGATTCTAAATTTAAATGACAACTTGTATCAGTAGATAAAAAGAATGACTCTATTTTAATAGAGTAGACTAAATTTTGACCCGCGCAACCGCGCGGTGTTTGTTTTCGTTTATAAGTAATTATATAAACATTTTGTTTTCACTTGGTATATATTATAGTAATCACATATTTACGATGTGTATAGTAAATGTTTTTCAAACATAATAATATTATATAATACGTGTTTTAATCAAATCAAATTGTTTCAAATTTCTATATTATACCTGTTTTTCAAACATGTGTTTGTTTTTTCTTCTATATTTTATTGTTTATTAGATTAGTATTCCATTTTTTAATAAAGTAATATAAATAGAGCTTGATTAAATATTAGTATACTTTAATTTGCAAAGATAATATAAACTTCGAAGAATTTTTCGCTAAAAACTAAACTTATAGCTTCATAAATTAATATTATAAAGAATTTAATTAAAAAAAGATTTTTTTAAACATTTTTTTAAAAAACAATATAATTTTAAAAATTTACATCGAAATAAATTTATCTAGTATATAGCGTGTAAATTTTGTTAGGGTGTATAAATATTTCATATTACGAATCCGTGATTTTTGTTAATATATTGTGGCTGCATTTAATTGTTATTGACATATTTCCTTATAAATAATAGTAAATTCCTAAATTTATATCTATTGACATATTTTGCGTGATTAAATTGCAAGGTGTAGGGTAACTTACCCAAACCAAATTGTTAAGCATATCTTTGTTATTATAGATATAAACTTTTCATAAGATATAATAATAATAAGATTATTAGAGAGTTAATGTAACATGACTTTCTAGCAATAGTCCATTTTTAAAAAAAATCACACATGAAATCAAGTCATGACTTCTGTTTTAATATATAAGATTTTGTATTATTTTCCTTGAGATATTTTTGCACGTCCATTGGTGGTATAATTGAATGTTCCACTTACGTTGACATCTCTCCCTTACAGTTTTTGTATTCCTTTCGCTATCTATCGTTTGTCTATAAACAAATAAAATTTGCGGTTTCTGCGTCATATGTACACCAAAAGTGATTTGAGAGGTAACAATGTACCCTCTCTGCATGAAGAATATGTTCTCTTGCTCTCTCTTTTCATGCACTGCAGTTGTGTAAATACAACCTAATTAGTCTTCCTATCAAATCTGATTTGCATCCTACCTCGTACGTCATATCATTAAGTGTCAGATAAACTCTATGGAAAATATATAAATAAACACATGAGAAAAAGAATGGCACATCTCTTAGCCAAAAATCATATACAACATCAAAGTCTTGTCACATCTTTTTTCTTCTACTTATATCATATTGAAGCTGATTTTCAATCATCTTCATATCATGTCTCTTAAAAATCAATTTACTAATCACTTCTAACCCACTCCTGCTAGCATTTCTCCTGCAATGCATTCGGGTTTATTCACCCCCTCCAAAAAATGAGATGTCCCTTCAACCAACACTTCTAAATCTTTTTTTTTTCTTTTGCGTGTGTGACCAGTTTCTAAAGCATTGGCCCCGTGTATAGCTTTTTTACTTGCTCTCTCATCAGGGATTCACGTTACAGTCACTCAAGAATCTATCTTCCCGATTCAGATGCTTTCTCCAATAGTTTTTGTACTGTGGGATTCCCAGTTCTAGCCACGGCTTCATGTTCCCATTGTAGTGCAATGTGGCTGCGTTTTTTATCGTTTGGGTGTTGATGAAGTAGTTATAACCAAGCCCTGATACAGCCCATTTGTCGTCAAGAGCATAAACTTTGTCTTGGAACGTAAGAAGAGTTGCTTGCAATGCGATTGCTTCTCTTGACTCACCTCCACCACTCATCTGCTGCACAAAGAAAAAAACAGTCATCGCTCATAAGCATACATTATCACATACTAATTTACTCCTTTTAATAGGAAAACCGACCTGTTTGTAAAATTTCAGGTAGGTTTCTGAAACTCCCAATTCCCTCCA